CGGAAACTCGGAGTTTTCATATATTCCATGAATGCCAAGTAATTCATTTCTGTAGCTTACTGAAATCTCATAAATGTGTTTGGAGGATTTCCGAGAATTCTTGAATGGTCTGAGGAAAAAAACCCTACGACATAACGCGTCAATTGGAATTTTCGCCGACAGGACATCCTCTGTCTCCTTGTCGATGATACGCACAACAGATTTACCATCATTAAGTTCTTCTCCCTCACTGTACAATTTTTCGGTCGGTTGTGGTGCGTGTGACCGTAGTCTACAGCGAACAAAGCCTTCGCAAACATTCATGTCACAGCGGCGAGGGTGGAGAACGACGACGCAGTAGCATTTCAATTACCATCTCGAGCATCATCCGAGACACGTGCCACCGGCTGAAACAATTGGTGGCATAAAAAAACAGTGATGCGAGCTGGTCAAATCCAGTTCCACAAGAAAAGTATCTACATTGCATAACCCCTGCGAATCTACCCGTGAACGAACAGCTTGTTTCTTCGAGCTATCGCTCTTGTGATGTGAAGAGCTTCCAACATGATGAGGACTTGCGCTGCTTCTTTAGACCAGGAGGCACGTAATCGGTATCGGCTTCATTCCATCGTGGGCTTCCAGGCATTGGAGAGCCCTAAAACCACGCGTGAATGAGTACGGAAAGCTGATCTGACCGACCGCTACGTTTTAAATTCAAATGGCTTGTGCGGTGAAATTGAGATTATGATAAAAGAGCATGGAAAACGTTGCTCTCAACGAAGAAGAACGGAACGTAACGGTAAGCCGAACGAAAGCTATGCCCGAAATAATTGTCATCGTAATTCAATAGCCATCAGGCACATTTGTTAAGTCGGCATTCGAGAAAAGAAATTTTCCCACAACGAATTTATTAGACCAAATTTACAGAAACCGAAGCTAAAATTCACTTGGACCGCACTACTGATACTATACTTACCAGTAGAATTATAGGCAAATGCACTTCATCTCAGGTGATTGTGAGTGAGTGATACTTCTTCATTATAATAACAAATAGAAATAGTTACTTTAAAAATATAATGGAATGTAGGCAGCGAAACAAGTCCATAAAATAGTAATGTTACACTTGTATAGTCTCTGGTATAGGTGTAGGTGTACTTCCTTCATAAAGGTGGTAGCGATATGCACAATAAAAAAAATCTTTGAGATTTTCTGATCAATAGTACCAACGACACACATAGTCAGTTATCACTTCAGAAACTCCTCACGTGAACTTTCTAAATTGCTACCCATGGGAAGAACGTGCACGGCATAAATTACCACATACGCTTGAACTTGTATCATCATTTTCCCTATTCATTTTACCCGACTAACTACGTACTATTTCACACTTTGCCAGAAATCTATCTGCTACACCGGATGCTTTGAAGAGGAACCTCAATTCGAAAAAAAAACGCAGGAGTAACGAGAGCATCAAAAGACATGACGAAGGCATAGCGATGAAGAAATTGAGACCTCTGCCTGAGAAGAGAAGAACTTTCGCCGCGGGTAAACAAAAAAGCAACGTGGCTAGTTTGTCATCACTGCAACATTACCGCGATCACTGCAGTGACAAACAATGCAAGATAGCATTGACACGCATGCAAAAACAGCAATTCAACTTGGAGTACTTTCGAAGTGAACGTGCTTATTAAAGAGTAATGCTGTTAGCTTTCATAAATGATGCCGACGCGATTATTCAATTTTTGAGTTAAAGCAGAGTGAGTAAATAAGGGTGCCCCCAACAGGCCCACCGCGCGGCGAAGCAAGAGACGCAGACGCGGCAAAGGGACGAGTCGCAGCGCATACTGTAGCGGTTAGGCGTCAGGTTAAAGAGAGTGTACCATACTACGTCTCATATCGCACAGCACGCGCTGCAACTCGTCTCTTTGCCGCATCTGCGTCTCTTGCTTCGCCGCGCGGTGGGCCTGTTGGGGGACACCCCCCAACCCAGTAAATAGAGATTGAAGAGAAATGAAGCAAGCGAGACCAGGATGTGTTGGGATTTCCCCAACACAACAGTAGTAGATATGACTTCCACACTATCAACCTAACTCTCTCTGAGGAGATTTGATTCAAAGATTGTGACCAAGAGATGAAAGCTAATCATGTTATTGCTCTGTATCACATTACATGACGAATGTTTAAAATCGCGCACAACTTCTGTGAAGATAAAAAGTGAACTGGGAGAACTCACCCTTTTCTTCTTTTCCTCGCATTGATTGACATAAACTTTCCAACGGTTACGAGTTGTAGGGCCATGCCTGAACAAAATCAGAAGATCGATCTGATGAACCATTATAAATTTCTACAGTAACTTTGGTGGTGGAAGAGACAAAGCGGCCAACGAAACCCACGCTTTAGAGTCGTTATCACCTGAGGTCCTCGCCTCAGTCCACTTTAGCCGAAGTCGGTTCTCGAGCTATTACGCGCCTGATGTAAGCATTTCTTAGTGTAATCCTACTCCAGTATCTAACGTAAGACGCACCACGCTATCTGGGGAGCGAACGTGAACCCGACTTGCTTGACGAGGAAACGGAACGAGAGAGTTCGCCACCGTTTTTTCTTTGCGGTGAAAAAGGTGACATCATCTGAACAGAAAAAAAGTGACGTAAAAGAAAGGGTTTGCACCCAAACGTCTTGACCCGCAGAATATTTCTACGTAAAACTTCATGCGAATTTTTGCTTATAATTTTCGAGATAGATAGTAACGACTTTGTAAATGGAGAAGGACGGTGTAGGATAAGTTCGAATGGACACATTCGTGACCCAAGAACTGTACATGAGATCGAAACGACATTTTTGCCAAGCGAATACGACATAATCAGCGCTATCCGAAAGGAACTTTTGAAAAATAAAGATGACAGATAAATCATTTTCTCAGGAATGAAAAAGAGCCTCTGGCACTAAAGTAACGATTGACTAACACAGATCGCTTAATCACAGACTGGAATTACATGAATCATACTACAAAGAATGAAACTTTACAATTCAACTCGTCACTAAAAAGTCACCAATACAATGAAAACTTCCCCTTCCCGGCGGAATGATTGCCTTCTTTCTTGTCTAATACTACTGCAAGATTGTTCGTAATTAAATTTCATTAAAGGTGTAGAAAAGAGGGCTTTTCTGCTTCTTGGCCCACCAACGGTACATGAAGGGCTAGCCCTCTCTTGTGACAGTGAGAGATTTACGGTAAAGTTTCCCTAAATCTAAGAGAATTTTTGGTTAACCTCTGATAAATACAAAGCCTTTCATAGGGATATAACGGGCAGGATTTGTAGTTCAGAATTCCAAAACACCTTCTTCCAAATCTTATGCAACACTCGCGACGATCTGAGTTGGCCAATTTGCGTGGTACTGTAACTCTCTCGAGTAAGTGGTCTTCCTGTTGTTGATTGGATCGTTTATAAATAAGCTAGATAACTCTTTCGCAAGAGCATGCATGACTAAAACATTCATATCCACTCAAGTATTTCGAGTTGAAGCCAGAACATGACCACAAGTAATGCATAGGACGTGGTCGGACTTGCGACAACGACGGCCGGTCGATTTCCTCACGCATCTTATGACCGCGGCGCGCCCGCCCCGCGAGCAATCCGAAGTGAATCGATGCGATGGCCGTCGACCGACCGAGGCGTTAGGCATCAGTGATGAGCTAGCGATCAGCCTAGCAATGACCAAACTATGCGGATGTAGCGCAGGCGAGAGTGTGTTGAGAAGCCTGCCAATATGGAAAGTTGTAGATATCCACTGCAAAAGGTTTCCTGTATTACTGACTCGGGCGCTCACGTCGTTTGAAGGGAGGGGGGAGAATTGCAGCTAGTGAGCCAACTGCCACCAACCCAACTGGGCTTGGGGCTAAGCTTAGGTAGGGCGAAGAATATGGGGGTGGTTAGATGTGAGCCAATTTGATTTATCCTCCCTAACGTTTTGCTCCCCCTCTGGAGGTTAGTCTCATATTCACCTACATCGGCTCTGCTATGATGGTCCCCCCTTTCCAGAGGACACGAGCGACCTGACTCGAATACTACAGAACATTGCGTTGAATGAGCTAACAAGGATTACAAGTTACCAAGTGAGTGGAAACTAAGAAAGGGAAATAAAGCGAATCCCATCAAAAGAGGAAATCGAAATCATCGAAAGAAGAGTAAAGTCAAGTAAAGTTTAACAAGTAATAGTTGCTTCGGGGACAAAGTAGCTTGGCGGCAATAGACGCTACCCAAGTTGTGCTCAGCAGATGAAACACAGCCAATAACAAGTGAAACTCCTCATATTAATACGAAATTAAACATCTGATAGGAATTGTTTAGGAGACTAAGCATGGTCACAAGATCGGCTAATATCCAAAACCCTTGTATGAACCAAATATGCAATCAGTGCCTCTATGAACATGAAAAATACGAATGCGTGACGCGGCTCTAAGATTAATCAAGTCCAAGCACTCAGAACTATAATCCCTTGAGATTATTTCATTAGAGACTAAGCCACAAATAATAAATAAAGAATATTATGTCGCGCCGAAGGCAAACCTGGATGGGCTACTTAATGATTTGCAGGAGACAGCCAATGTAACAAGTAAGTAAAAGTATTATTTTTATCGTCCTACACAAAAATGCTTCCCATTAGCCACCCCCCAAATAGGGAACGCTTGGCTGGCCTGGACGAGATCTGACCAGGGGTCTCACTCTCGGACCGGCAGTCGTGCCGTTGGGTTCCATTATCGGCGACTTAAATGATATACATGCGAACAGAGTCAGCATTCCATGTGACGTTAGAGAGGTGAGCCATGCTTGGCTTGCTAGATCCAGTAAGAAAGGCAAAAAAAGGAAATAATTCACCCTATGCCCATTTAAGCTCTTGTACTCTAGCGATTACTTCATCGCTACACTTCTATTCGTATTCATATTAGCCTGAACTTGCCCCAGCAATTCTTCAACAACAATATGAGCGATGAGATAAAGAAATTGCATACAAAAAACGTTGATGAAGGAGGAATGTAACACATTCATGAAAACATGTGGTTAAGCTTCCTGCTACTCGGAAGACAAGAAAAGTGTGTTGAGAAACAATTAATGCACGATGATCGAGAAAAATGTAGTAAGCACTATTGCAACTGGAGGAACTGAAGAGGAGAGCAACGTTTGATGGTTTACTTCTTTGAAGTCTAACCTTTTTTGGGCCGAAAGTGGTGTAGTGGCAAGTGGCACGCTTACCACGCGAGCGGTCTGGGGATCAAATCCTGGGTCGTGAGTCGCCCAAGCCTTCCATCCCTCCGGGGTCGGTTAATTGGTACCACTTGTCTGGGAGGATAAAAACACTGACTTGTACATCGGCTGGCCCCCGCAAGTCATATATAGGCCACATCGCATTCAAACGCCACTACGAATGTACAAATGGAAGTAGAATGCGTGCCGCATCCCAAAAAGGGATTGATCAACGGCAAATGCTTTATCCTTTATCCCTTTTTACGAGATTCCTTTCGATGAGACTCTGGCAGAAAGCCGTAATTTCTTTACGTAGACCTTTCTTTGATGAAAGAAATGAAGTGGTAGCTGTGCAAGCACCCGATTCATGATTTTTGAGGCAGCCGAGAATTTGGAAAAGTAAAAAACCTTTACGAAATAATGGAGTAGTCTGGCAAGCCTAACAAGCACAACATCACTGACAGGTCTTGCGCACAACGCACCTATCACAATTGGTAGTAGCAGCAGAGCTTAACTGCAGAGTTTAGTAAACAAATTTATAACTATGCGACATGACTGCAGTAAGATTAGTGAAAAAGGTGTAGCGTCGGGTGTCAAGAAAGGACAATTTGTGAGATGCAAAAAAATTATATTCAAGAGTAAGCTAGGTAGAGGTGTATGTTACGAAATAGTCGATCAGTCTGGTCAACCACAAAAAGTCGATAAACCCAGAAACACAGAGTAGAGAGAAAAGGAAATTCCTTCAAGTCATAAAACCGCAATACAAGAGGAACAAGAAAGCTCGTTTCGGACGAGCACCAAGTATATCGCAAGGAAATATTCCTACACTCCTCAATAAATTCTCTGATACTTACATAAGAAATATGAGAAAATGCAGACGAACCTTATTGTGCGTTACGGTGTGAAGGTAGTAAGGCCACAGTATTTGGAGTCCACGAAGTTGGCTGCTTTACCGTCTTCAATTGAGTGACCTCCATTATGGATTCAACATCTTAAACAGAGGTTAGAATCCCCAATATGTTCAGAGATACGTAGCAGATGCAACAAGCTCTGCAAACACACTCGACCAACCTCCAAGATTTCGCATATTGACTCGCTTTGTGCCCGTTGCGTAGGCCTTCGTAGAGATAATACGCGTACCGACATGACAGTCTGCTAGCATATTCTTTATGTGCAGATCCAAACTCGGTTCAAACGCGTAGTTGTTGATGAAAATAATAGTTGCTTCCTAAACCAATATTCTGACTCACATGTTAATCGTGTTAACAGATCAGAAAAAGGTGCTGAAGTTATAAAAGAGACAATCTAAGGAAACAAGATGCGTCACCACATAGAATGGAGGCAAAGGCATTACCTGCGTGATCAAATTTCTAAACTGTTCATCTAACATGTCACCATGTATTAATTGAAACGGGCGACACTTTTTCTTCCACCACTTCATCCACCTTAAAAGGTGAAATCATTACGAACGCCGCCTGCCTAGTAACCGGGAATGGATGCTTACTTAGAGAAATCTTCACTCATTGCCGCTCCATACTTCGCTGGTAAATCGTTGATCTCAATTCCAACTGACTTTTTCACCTAAAATGCTATCCTGATCGTCCGAAAGTGAAGTAGGTTCGGCAAGTTTGAAAACATAATAGTAAAAGAAGTAGTTACCTTAGTTCCCCCAGCAACATACATCACTAATTGCCCAACACCACAACCTAAGTCCAAAAAAACATCAGAATCACGAAAAACCGTTTGATCAATAATCATTTGCATTTGTTCATAAGACGTTTCTCCATAAACCTGAAACCACATCAAGTTAGTGAGCTAGATTTGCCATCAAATCTTTTGAAGAATTCTTACCCCACTGCTAAAAGGTGCATAATGATTGTTCAACAGTTGAGGATTCGAGACTGCCCTGAAAAAGGAAGTGTTTAGTCTCGAACATGGAACCAATATACTCCCGAACTTCAAAAAAGCTGGGGCCAAATCATTACACTGCCCAATAAATTCATGCGCTTCGATTTTCTACTTCATTTTTCCCCGCAACTGCTCTTCTGTGTTCTGTAAATGTAAAAATAGAAATTCTGTGTTCATTCTAGAGCATAAAAACAAGAAGGTACTAAAACCCTATAGTGTGGAATTGTCGCTTCTGATCATTTCTGTTCAAAGAGCGGCACTTTAGCTATTCCTCCACCGGAGCAACTCAAATCTCTGAGAGCGCACCACGAATTAAGCCATTTGCACATACTGCCGTTACGGAAAGAAACATCTTGAACGTGTTGGATAATGACAGAAAAGGATTGTAATCTAAAGTTGCTCCACCATAGGAATGTCATGCTTAGGGACGCCACGCACCGTATTTGGACACAC